CACAAAGACTAGTGTCCTTCACAAATGTTCCCAATCCACACTCTTTATCTCCAGTCATCAGAGTCTCCCCCAATTCCCCACCTTCCCACAGCCTGGGATTCTCTGAACTGACCCTATGCTTAATCCATCCTTGAGACTTGAGATGGGACCTCCAGAGGGACACCAGACACCTGGAAGGGAAGAAGGCGCTCACCTGGGGGCTCACAGATAACCCAAGCACAGAAATACACAGGTACAGAAGGGCACTCAGGTGCTGGGCTTATGTCCAGATTCACATAGACTCACACTGTAGACATGGGCAATACCCTGAGGGGAACACACACACAAAGAAACAAATAATTGGGGCCACCCAGACAGTGCCACAGGACACACACGCACACAATGGACACTTCCCTATATGCTGGCAGAAAACCCAATCACCAACCCTGTCCCAACACCCCACCTCTCTGCCCCCTCAACCTCACATCCCACAGTATATTGTCCCTCAGAGTTCAGGCTCCATCACCTCACTTCAGGTGCAAATGTCTGTTCTGCACAGGCCAAACTGATGAAGGGGGGAGACCACCTGTAATGCATCCCCCCCAATGTGGTATCTTGTTGAGACCAAGCCTCTCCTTCTGGAAATGCTTGTATTGCAGAATGATCTCACCATTGAAATATTTTCAATGAAATGAAAATGGAAAATTACCGAGAAATGCAAAAGTAGAGAGATGCAAACAATGCCTGTGAGGCTCAGGGGTGTGTGGGCTGCTCAGAGGCAGGTGAGCTGATTTGAGGGCCTCAAGTATCAGGAGCTGCTCCGGAACATCTGGGAGGGATCTGGGCTCAACTACCTGAATCCAAAATAGCCCAGTTTCAACCCGTGGCTGGAAGGTGCTGAGGCCACAAGGCTGATGTCCAGGCCCAGAGCTTTCCCCAGCCCCTTAGGGTTTAGTTTCAGGGAGCACAGATGTCATAATTACCTGAGGGTGACTGTGCAGCTCAGCCCGTTCCCCATCCTCCACACTGACAGCAGGGCCCCTCTCCTCCTGTTCTCTCCCTCACTGTGTGCTCTGCTCTCATGAGAACCCTTATGGCTGGTTCACCACAGGGCCCCTGGTCTGTGATAGTGTTCACATGTGTTGACTCATTTGGTAAAAAAAACAAAACCAAAAACGCACAGATATATTGATTAGAGAGAGATAGTATGAGGGGGAGAGAGAGAAACATCCATTTGTTGTCCCACAAATTTTATATATTCATCATTTGATTCTTGCACGGGCCCTAAGTGGGGATGGAACCTGCAACCTTGGCGTCATTGAGATGTTGCTTTAATCAATTGAGCTGTATAGTCCAGGCCAAATTTACCAGGGGTTTTAAGTAAAATAAGTCACTAATGTATCTGAGAATAGATACTACAACCACCATGATGACAGATTGTGATGGAAGGCTAGAATAGAATTCATGAAGTTTCATCATGTTTTCTTTATATGGATATATTTGAAATAAGCTATTACAAAGGTAGAGTATGTCCTTGCAGCAGTAATTTCATATGCCAATGTGGAAGCACTGAAAAGGGGAGGAGGATTTCCTTTCAGGGAGGCAGGCATGTATGGAAACATAAAAGTGTATGTTAAAAAGTGTGTTTTAGCCCTGCCAATATTACTCAGTGGTTGAGTACAAACTATGAACCGAGAAGTCAAGGTTAGAGTCTGGTCAGGGCACAAGCCAGGATTGCAGGCTTGATACAGAGTGTAGGGCATGCAGCAGACAGCTGATCAATGATTTTCTTTCATCAGTGATGTTTCTATATCTCCCTTCTTCTCTGAATAAAAATATTATATATTATATATATATAAGTGTGTGTGTGTGTGTGTGTGTGTGTATTCAGGTCAAATAAATATTTTAAATCAATTACACTTTTATCAAACTTTTAAAGATGTTTAACACTTGCCACTTGCCAATAATTCAGCTGTTTTATTATGTTTTCTTGAGCATTTTTATTGCTACTGTATCAGTATGCTGAAAATAAATTATAACGATGTACTACTGAAGTATCTTATTAAGTCCATGTTCTATGTCATCATTTTGGCAGTTTGAACCTAGTGATGATGAGAGTATTTACACCAGGGAAATTGAGAAATACTACAAACCTAGACTTCACTTAATGCAGTGGTTTTCAACCTTCTGGCCCTTTAAATACAGTTCCTCATGTTGTGACCCAACCATAAAATTATTTTCGTTGCTACTTCATAACTGTAATTTTGCTACTGTTATGAATCATAATGTAAATATCCAATATACAGGATGGTCTTAGGCGACCCCTGTGAAAGGGTCGTTCGACGGCCAAAGGGGTCACGACCCACAAGTTGAGAACCACTGACTTAATGTGTTATTAAATGTTTAGACTTAAAGAACACTGGTGGAGAATATTAATAATGCAGATTCAACTTATAAGTGTATGGTATGAGTGGCTATTAATTGTCCATAGAATAAAAGTTGAGAAAAACAACTTTCTTTCCAAAATTGAAAACCAATGCTTCCATATGGCAAAGAAATCACTTGAGTCAATGAGGAAGGAGTGAAACTCAAACACATGTCTTAGATGTCAAGCACTGTCCTCCTATTGGTAAGAATAATAAATTAACTGAAAAAGTAGGCAAAGGATCCTGAGCAGACATTTTAACAAAGGAGATAAAGACAGTGTAAATTATGCAATAAGAAATGTTCACCACCAAGAATTCTTAGGGAAATGTTATTAAAACAAAAAAACAAGTTAACAGTATACTCATTACCTGGCCTACTATTTAAAAAATAAATCACATGTGCTGGCAGGGTAATGTAAAACCTGGACATTTCATTACTGTGGGTGGGTGGGAAGGCAAAGGGAATGACCATTTTAGATCACAGATCTGCATATCTTAAAATGTAACACATTCACCGACACTGCAACAGTTTGTTGGGCTTGATCACGTTCACTGAAAGGTCATTGGTTTGATTCCAGATCAGAGAACCTGCCCGCCTGGATCTGCAGTAGTGGGCATGCAGGAGGCAGGAGATTGATGTTTCTCTCCCTCTGCCCTTCTGTCTAAAAATACATTGTAAAATATATAAAACTAGAGGCCTGGTTGACAACATTTGTGCACGGGTAGAATCCCTAGGCCTGGTCAGCAATCAGGACTTATCTGGGCCTTCCTTCCTTCCATGCCATCCCCTGGTGGTGATCACATGTCATAGTGAGCAATCGAACCACTGGTCCCCTGGTCAAACTCCCAAGGAGACACTTTGCATAACACACACACACACACACACACACACACAGACTAGAGGCCCAGTGCACAGTGCACAAAATTTGTGCATGAGAGGAGAGGGTCCCTCATTCCAGCCTGCACTCTCCAGTCCGGGACCCTTCGGGGGATGTCCGACTGCAGATTTTGCTCACAGGGATCAGGCCTAAACTGGCAGTCGGACATCCCTCTTGCAATCTGAGACCGCTGGATCCTAACTACTCACCTGCTTCCTGCCTGATTGCCCCTAACTGCCTCTGCCTGCCAGCTGATAGCCCCTAATTACCCCCCCTCCCACCGGTGCCAGACTCATCGCTCCTAACTGCCTCTGCCTGCTGGCCTGATTGCCCCTAACTGCCTCTGCCTGTCTAGCTGGGTAACCCCTAACCACCTCTGCCTGCTGGCCAGTCACCCCTAACAGATTCTGCCTGCTGGCCTGGTCACCCCTACCTGCCCTTCCCTACCGGCCGGGTCGCCCCTAACTGCCCTCCCCTCCTGGCTGGATCACCCTTAATTGCCCTCCTCTGCCAGCCTGGTCACTCCTAACTGCCCTCCCTGCTAGCCTGGTCGCCCCTAACCAACTCTGCCTTGGACCCCGCCACCATGGCTTTGTCCAGAAGGATGTCCGGAAGATATCTGATCTAATTGTTGTTTCATTAGTATAGATTGTCATTTAAAATAAGAAAATAAATTACGGGTTTTGCATACTCATAACTGTAAGCATACTATTGCCCCACCATGGGTATGGGTAACAGAGAAGTTTATTTCACCTGTAACTGTTTCGAAGCTTAATCCGTATGTTCAATCTCACCAAATAGTACACATTAGAAAAGTGCTTTTTGTTGCATGTCAGTTACACATATACCTAACTAAAGCCTTAAAATGTGGTTCCAAATAAAAACACAGATATCCCTCTGTATTTAGAAAATTAAGATGGCAACTCTATACAGACATGACCATCTCTCTCCTCATTTCCTGAGAGAATCATTGCTGCCTCAGTGGCAGCAAATATTGTCAAGAAGTGAACACTACTGCCATCAGAATGATCAGGAATGCTGAAATGTCACAAAACACACAACCTGGGACTAATTATATGATGATTCCTCCTCTAGCTTCGAGTTCTTGCCTGTTGTGATAACCTTGAGGTGAACACCATAGAGGGGCCCAGGGAAATCCCCAAACCATGAGATTCTTTTCACAACAAATCACTTCAGCTACAAAAAGAACAAACAAGCTTCAGGACTGGGTCATTTGTGGATAATGTTTAGAAGAGGCAATTTTCATCCAATATACTGCCATCTCTTCCACTCACTATGAAAACAGTGTTTGTCCCAATATTGATTACACTTCACAGTGTTACAACAAATGAAACCAGCCTATGAAATTTCACACATCATGGCTCAGGGCTCCTTCACAGTATGTAAGACATACTATGAACAGAGAATATAATTCATATTGTTCACAGAAGCACAACAAAGGGCTCTTCTCTGACCTCACCAATAATATAGGCACCAGGCTAAAAAATTAGAACCAAAATGTCATGCAGATTTTCGTTAAAGGACTTGGTCAGCAATACAAAATAAACTAATATTGACCAAAGAGTCATTTTTTCATTATTATGTGCCTTCCAAAGCACAGAGAGCTTGGGACCCTACCTTATCTGTTCACCTCTGCGTGTGACAGATCACAACTAACCTTTCAAATCATCCCAGGCAGTGAATATAACCAACAAAATTAAAGGTACAAAAGCAAAAAACACCTTTACTAAAAGATTATAAACCAGAACAGAGGACAGTAAGAATTTGCAGGTTGGTGAATTAGAAAATAAAACAATTCAGAAAAGCATAATGTGAGACACACAATGTCCCTGACAGAGGTTGCACTTCTTAGCTGAGGATGGGTGGTCTGGACAAACCCTGGGTCAGACGCATGCCTAGTCAGAGAGAAGGAATGAGGATCCTGTCAAGAGCTTGAAGTAATCATAATTTTCTTAAACACAAGTGAAAACACAGAATACATTTCCCCTTAGCACAGAGGGTTTGTGAGTGATGCATACTCTTAAGGTGAGCCAGGTGGCAGAGGTAAAATCTCTTCAGCCACAAATGTTCGCTATGACATCAATCGGTTAGCAGGTCTGGGCATATTAGCAAGTACAATGCAGCTCCTTCAAGCCTCACTTGTACCTGAAACTTATGAGAAATATATCAGAGTGTATGTTCCATTAAAATGGGTTTAAATTCAGAAAAATAGGTCCCAAAGAGTCACCTTCAGTGTTGTTATACTGAGAAAAATAAAACATTCCCTGCACATTTAAAACTTACCTCCAGTGTGAACTCTCAGGTGTCTACTAAGGCTAGATTTTTGGCTAAAAGACTTCCCACATTCAGTACACTCATATGGCTTCTCTCCAGTGTGAACTCTGAGGTGTGCAGTGAGCTGAGCCTTTAGACGAAAGGACACCCCACATTCTCTACACTTGTACGGCTTTTCTCCAGTGTGAACACTGTGGTGTTGTTTGAGGTTACACTTATCACTGAAGGTCTTCCCACAATCACAGCACTCATATCGCTTGTCGCCCCTGTGAACTCTCAGATGTCTAATGAAGTTAGATTTTACGCTAAAAGTCTTCCCACATTCAGTACACTCATATGGCTTCTCTCCAGTGTGAACTCTGAGGTGTTCAGTGAGGTAAGCACTTTGACGAAAGGACTTCCCACATTCTTTACACTCATACAGCTTTTCTCCAGTGTGAACTCTGAGGTGTACAGTGAGGTGAGCCCTTCGAGGAAAGGACATCCCACATTCTCTACACTCATATGGCTTTTCTCCAGTGTGAACTCTCTGGTGTTGTTTGAGGTAAGACTTATCACTGAAGGTCTTCCCACAATCACAGCACTCATATCGCTTGTCACCACTGTGAACTCTCAGGTGTCTAATAAGGTTAGATTTTAGGCTAAAAGACTTCCCACATTCAGTACACTCATATGGCTTCTCTCCAGTGTGAACTCTGAGGTGTTCAGTGAGGTGAGCCCTTCGATGAAAAGACTTCCCACATTCTCTACAGTCATACAGCTTTTCTTCAGTGTGAACTCTCTTATGTCGATTGAGGTTAAAGATTCGTGTAAACAGTTTCCTACATTTGTTACACTCATAAAGCAGTTCTCCAGAACACACACCCGGGCACTGAACAACTTTCAGGTTGTGGCTGGCAGCATTTTCACATTCACCCCACTGGTGATGACTTTTTCCCCTGTGTAATTCCTGTGAAATCTCACGGCCACAGGGTAGCTCCTCAGTGTTGATAGTGGTGTGGTGCTTAGGAATATCAGAGTTGTATTGCAAGTCTTCCCCATACTCCCTGCTGGTTGAAGGCACTGTAGATAAGTAGAGGCTGGAACTGCTCACAAAGGAAGCCCTGTCCATAGCTTGTTTCCAGGGCTCCTCTCCACATTCATTCCTCTGTTTCTGTTGAGGATTTGAACTGAAACAGAAGTCTCCAACACATACATCAGTACAGAAGGCTTTCTGCTCAAAGTCTCCGGCATGTGACCCAGTCAGGTGCAAAATACCTTTTAACACAGAGAAACACCGCTTACACAGAGGGATCTTCTGGGTGGCTGGAGCTGTCTTAGAAGCCCTGACCTTTGACTCTCCTTTTATAGCTACACTCTGATCAGAACAGGCCTCATCACCATCGATTTTATGCCAACAACCTGAAAAGTGAGAAAGGGTAAGGAAATGAATATTGAATGTGGTGACAGGGGGAAGTTCCGTTACAAAAGTGTGTTACACATCACACGTTGGTTCCATGCAATTGTCTGAAAATAAGAGATGTGCAGGAAGGATTAATAAGAGGCTCTTGTGACTTTCTGCGCTAATGAAGATCACAACACAGGGAGGCCTCACCAGAAATATGACAAACATGGCAAGCACCACATGGATTAGAATATGGATCTCCAGCTAATCCTTCAACTAAGAAAACTCAGCACAGCTTGTCTGCTGGGGACTGGGGCAAGCTATGCACAACATTGGCTCCGTCTTACTCCAAGTAAAATTCAATAAAGGAGTAGCTGGTTTTGAGGACTACTTAGCACATATGTGCACGTCATAACACATGCGCAAGTCAATGTTGCAGAATACTGCAGAGTCAACAATGCAGAGAAACAGCTGATGAAGAAGTGAGCGGTCAGCACTGGGCCAGAGCAACACTGATTGCTACAGTATTCAGGGAAGAAAATATAACAAATAATTGAATGAGGGCCTTACAAGAATAGCCAATGGTTCATGTATGTAAAGACCATAACACGACACAAGCTGCTACAAAGAACACTTACCTAAAGAAAGAATGCAGAAGTTGAAGCCATGCATGTGGAAACTGTCAGCCTCCCATGAAGAGAAAGTGCAAGCTGGGACCCATTAAGCTCACGCCAAGACTCCTGACTCCCTAACACTTCCTGTACTTTTTGAGGTAACAGGTGTTAGTGATGTTCCTGGAGTCCTTTACTCAGAGCTCCCCATCCAGCTCATCCCTGACAGCCACAGCATGTTTGACAGGAAAGTGGGGGAAAGTAGCAGAGGCCATGTTCTGGCTGTGGGAGAGAGAAAGCTACGGCTGAGGAATAAAGGAAGAGAGGTCATCACCTCAGGACACTGGGAGAATGTGAAGGTCTTACCTACAGATGACACAAGTGCAAAAGCTTCCAGCATCACATCGCAGTACAGAAGTCTCTGAGCCTCATCAAGGATCCCCCATTCTTCCTGAGAGAAAGCAATGGCCACATCCTCAAAGTTCATATTCTGTCATAATGGAGACAGTACAGCCCATGATCAGATTCACTCCTAAGTTTATATGTCTGTCATACTCCCTACCCTCCACACCCATCTTCTCTTTTCACTCTATATATTACATGAAATACCAGGCTTACATCCTATGAAAGCCACTGTCTTCTTATATTTCTGCTGATATTTTTCTTCCCACAACAATTAACGCAGTTGAACAGATAGAAGATACCTGAGCTCTGCAAATCCCATGTATACCACACTACCTCTTATCAATAGAGTGGGTGTTCAAAACAGGTTAGAAAGGGATGTTGACGATAAAAATAGTGTGAGTGATTTGATACTGGTCTCTTCAGGAAATAGACTTGTAGTCCTTCTGATTGTTCCTTGAAGACACCAAAAACATGGCATCACACTTCATCATCTTGATCCCAATCCCAAGGTATGAGGCCGTCGCTTTCCACTACCTGCTGCACATAGTTCTTTCAACAACAGTTCTCTCACACAGCTTCTTTCCCAGAGGCACAACAGCAAAGGTAATGCAAGTTTTCCATGGTGTGGATAATTTTTTTTCTAATCAACTTCTTTTCCAAAATTACAGTTCACACAACTGCCATAATCTATTTCTCTCTTACCCTTCTTCCTTATCCATGGCAGTGGAGATTTACAGGACTGGGTAACACTGATGAATGCTATCTCATTCCCATCAACTAGTGTGTCACTCCCAACAAAAGGCAGGTGGATAGTTAAATGGCACCTAAGCTCTTAACCTAGAATATAGCACCCAAACACCTCTCTCTACAGGCAATTATCCTAAAATTCACCTTATTGTTACATCCAGGGACCAGCATAAATAGAATCACCCTCCATTCACTCTCATGTCAATGTCAGGGACCTATCACCATGAATTCACAATCCCTCTCGAGTGCTCATCACTCTTTATACCACACCTCCCTTACACTTGCACTTCCACAGCCCCAGCGCCCATACTCATCTCCTGGCCTTTTACTTATTATTCAGCATGTGTGGTCCAGAGGAGGTTTGTCAAATTGAATCAAGATCAAGTACTGCCCAGAGTCTAATAGTCCACACTCATAGAGGCAGTCTTGTATCTTGCTATGTAGGCCTCTCTCCATGACTTTTTTTCCCTTCAACCTCAACTATTAAGAACAACAATCAGATCTCAGATATCCATAGCCCAACTCTTGTGATGCTGCACTTGATGTCCCTTCACTAGTCATAGCCAACATCCCTCACTTAACCTTCACTCAAGTCCCAACCCTGATGGCCCTCTGCAGCATGCCCAGTGAGTCTCACAAATGACCACTCAAGCCTCTAAGCTAATCCACAAGATGGACTTCACCCCCCCACAGCCAGGCTACATTGAGGGCCACAACAAAATCCTGGTGAGAGTTTAAAAAAGGTGTTTGTACCAACCCTAGTCTCATGTTCTTTGAATTACTCTTTGGCCTCCAATTAATCTCAGGTCCACTCATCTTTTGAAGGTATTTGCTACTGCAATGTGATTATTTCTCCCCCACACTCTACATGACAACTTCTGTCCTTATGACAACCACCTACCACAAACAGTGGCCACAGCAAATAAGCCAGTCCTGGCGCAGAGTGTGAGGCTATTCCTAGGCTAGTGAGCATTTACCCTCTGGCCTCGTGCATAGAGTGCAGTGGCTGCTGGGCGCCAGGGAGCCTCCCGCCGGCTGGGTGCTAAAGGAGTTGTGGCTATCCAGACATCTGATAAGAGGACTCCTAACAAGATATTGTCACTGTAACCTATAAATACCTGAATCATTACAGTTTCCTCTAAATTTCACAGAATATATAAAGAACTCTTCGCCCCGTCCGAGGAGCAGTAGCCGCGTGCAGCCAGCCTCCATCAAAGGAGTAGCAGCTACGTGAGCAGTCCACCCATGTCCGAGGAGCAGCAGTCACGCGGGCAGCCTGCCACTGTCCAAGGACCAGCAGCCGTGCGCAGCCTGCCCCTATCAGAGAAGCAGCAGCCTACCCCAGTATGAGGAGCAGCAGCTGTGCGAGCAGCCCTCCCCCACCTGCCAGAGGAGCCACGGCTGCTGCAAACAGCACCCACTAAAGGAGTCACTGCCAACTGAGGAGCAGCTGCTGCTGCGATTTCCCGATGAGCAACTGCAGCCCGAGGAGCAACTGCCACCCAAGGAACAGCCCCTGCACAAATCAACATCTAGATCTGTTGGTGAAATCAAAAATGGGTAGACAAAGAAACCCCCAAAGGAATGAAAAGGAAAAATCACCAGATAAGCAGCTAAGTAGAACAGAGGCATGCAATATGTCAGAAAAAATTCAGAATAAGGGTTATACAGTTCATAAACAGGATGGATGAAAAAAAATCAATAACTTATGTAAGAATCAAGAAGAAATAAAGAGTGATATAGCTGCAATAAAGAACACCATGGAATGTTTCAACAGTAGATTAGGAGAAGTGGAGGACCGAATTAGCGAATTAGAAGACAGGGAAGCAAAACGCACCACCCAAACTGAACTGAAATTGGGAAAAAAAATTAAAAGACAGGTGGAGGGCCTAAGGGAGCTATGGAGCAACATGAAATAAAGCAACATACGAATAATAGGGATGCCAGAACAACAGGAAGAGGAACAAGGGTTAGAAAACCCATTTGAAGAAATAATGTCAGAAAACTTCCCTGATGTGGAGAAGAAAGAAGTCATACAAGCACAGAGAGTCCCAAACAAGATGAACCCAAAAAGACCCACACCAAGACACATCATAATTATGACGGCAAATGTTCAATACAAAGAGAGAATCTTAAAAGCTGCAAGAAAGAAACAGAAAATTACGTACAAGGGATATCCCATTAGATTATCAAAAGATTCCCCAACAGAAACACATCAGGCCAGAAAAGAGAGGAAGAAAATTTACAAAGTGATGCAAAGAAAGGACTGAATCCAAGAATACTCTATCCAGCAAGGCTATCATTGAAAATTGAAGGGGAAATAAGGATCTTCACATACAATAAAAGGCTAAGGGAGTTTATCACTACCAAGCCAGCAATGCAAGAAATGCTAAAGGGACTGGTATAAAAAGAAATAAAAAGGGAAGGAACACAGGCACAAAAAATAAAAATGGCTACAATTATCTATCAATAACTTTAAACATAAACAAACTAAATGCTCCAATCAAAAGACATCGAGTGGCTGAATGGATAAAAAAAACATGACCTATTTATATGCTGTCTACATGAGACCCACCTAAGAACAAGGGATTCACACAGACTGAAAGTGAAGGGATGGAAAAATGTCTTTCAGGCAAGTAGAAATGAAAAGAAAAGCCAGGGTAGCAATATTTATATCTGACAAAATAGACCTCAAAGATGGCCATAACAAGAGATAAATAAGGAAGGTCACTTCATAATACTAAAGGGAACGATACAACAAGAGGATATAACCCTGATAAAAATATATGCACCCAATGTAGGAGCACCCAAATACATAAAAAAAAATTCTTGGAAGATATCAAGGGAGAGATTGACAACAATACAATCATAGTAGGGGACTTTAATACACCGCTGACATCACTGGATAAATCCTCTAGACAAAAAATCAGCAAAGAAACAGCAATTCTAAATGACTCACTAGATCAGATGGACTTAATTGACATCTTCAGAGCATTTCACCCCAAATCCATGGAATACACGTTCCTCTCAAGTGCACATGAAACATTTTAAAAAATAGACCACATATTGGGTCACAAGCAAAGTTTCCCCAAATTCAAGAAGATTGAAATCATATCAAGCATCTTCTCAGATGCTTGGCATAATATTAGAAATAAACTACAATAAAAAAAAATCCAAAAAATTCAAACACTTGGAAGCTGAATAGCATGTTATTAAATATTGATTGGGTTACCAATGAGATCAAAGAAGAAATTAAAAACATCCTGGAAATTAATGACAATGAAAACACAACAATCCAAAATCTATGAGAAACAATTAAAGTTGTCCTGAGAGGGAAGTTTATAGCTCTACAGGCCTACCTCAAAAAACAAGATAAAATGGAAGTAAATGATCTACTCTAAAACTTAAAGAATTAGAAAAAGAGCAACAACAACAACAACAAAAAAAGCCCAGAGTGAGCAGACAGAAGGAGATAATACAGATCAGAGCAGAAATAAATGACATGGAGACCAAAAAAACAATACAAAAGATCAATGAAAGCAAGAGCTGGTTCTTGGAAAGGATAATCAAGATTGATGAACCTCTAGCCAGACTCAACAAGAAGCAAAGAGAGAGGATCCAAATAAACAAAATCAGAAGTGAAAGAGGCAAAATTTCATCAGACCCCAGAGAAATACAAAGGATTGCTAAAAAAATACTATGAACAACTCTATTCCAACAAATTAGACAACCTAGAGGAAATGGACATATTCCTAGAAAATTACAACATTCCAATACTCAATCAGGAAGAATCTAAAAATCACAATAGGCCAATAACTATGGAAGAAATTGAAACAGTCATCAAAAAGCTTCCAGCAAACAAAAGCCTGGGGCCAGACGGCTTCCACATGGGAGATTTACCAAACATTCAAGGAAGAACTAAAACTTATCCTCCTCAGACTATTCCAAAAAATTCAAGAGGAAGGAACGCTTCCAAACTCATTCTATGAAGCCAGCATCACTCAAACACCAAAACCAGATAAAGACAACACAATGAAAGAGAATTACAGGCCAATATCCTTCATGAACATAGATGCCCAAATCCTCAACAAAATCCTAGTAAATCGGATCCAGCAGTACATCAGAAAGGTCATACACCATGACCAAGTAGGATTTATCCTGGGAATGGAAAGATGGTACAACATCCACAAATCAATAAACATGACACATCACATAAACAAATTGAGACATAAAAACCACACAGTCATATCAATTAATGCAGAAAAAGCATTTGACAAAATCCATCATACTTTCTTGATAAAAACTCTCAGTAAGGTGGGAATAGAAGGATCATACCTCAACATAATAAAAGCCACATATAACAAACCCACAGCCAACATCATACTCAATGGGCAAAAACTAAAACCATTTTCCCTAAGAACAGGAGCCAGACAAGGATGCCCACTCTCACCACTCCTGCTTGACATAGTACTGGAAGTACTAGCCATTGCGATCACACAAGAAAAAGGAATAAAAGGCATTCAAATTGGAAAAGAAAAAGTAAAACTGTCCTTATCTGTAGATGACATGATACTGTACATAGAAAATCCTAAAGACTCCATCAAAAAATTATTAGACTTAATACATGAATTTGGCAATGTAGCAGGATACAAAATTAACACCATGAAATCTATGGCATTTCCATACACCAATAGTGAACTTACAGAAAAAGAGACTGAAAAATCCCATTGACCATTGCACCAAAAAAATTAAGATACCTAGGAATAAACTTAACTAAGGAGGTTAAAGACCTATACTCGGAAAACTACAGAGCACTGAAAAAAGAGATAGAGGAAGTCATAAACAGGTGGAAGAACATACCGTGTTCATGGATTGGTAGAATCAACATCATCAAGATGTTCATACTATCCAAAGCAATCTATAGACTTAATGCACTTCCCATTAAAATACCAATGGCATATTTCACAGACCTAGAACGAACTTTCCAAAAATTCATCTGGAATAAAAAAAGACCACAAATAGCTGCAGCGATCCTGAGAAAGAAGAACAAAGTAGGTGGGATCTCAATACCAGATACCAAGCTGTATTACAAAGCCACTGTTCTTAAAACAGCTTGGTACTGGCACAAGAACAGACACACAGATCAATGGAATAGAATAGAGAACCCAGAAATCGACCCAAACCACTATGCTCAATTAATATATTTCAAAGAAAGCATGAACCTACAAAGGAGTCAAGACAGTCTCTTCAATAAATAGTGTCAGGAAAATTGGACAGATACATGCAAGAAAATGAAAGTAGACCACCAACTTACACCATACATAGTAATAAACTCAAAATGGATAAAGGACTTAAACATAAGACAAGAAACCATAAAAGTACTAGAGGAATCCACAGGCAGCAAAATCTCAGACATATGCTGAAGCAATGTCTTCACTGATACAGCTCCTAGGGCATTGGAAACTGAAGAGAAAATAAACAAATGGGACTATGTCAAACTATAAAGCTTCTGCACAGCAAAAGAAACCATCAACAAAACAACAACAAAGCCCACTGAATGGGAGAACACATTTGCCAGTGTTATCTCTGGTAAGGGTTTAGTCTCCAACATTTACAGGGAACTTATACAAGTTAACAAAAGGAAGATAAACAACCCAATCAAAACATGGGCAACAGACCTAAATAGAAGACAGAAGGAAGGCCAAGAGACATATGAAAACATGCTCAAAGTCACTAATTATCCAAGAGATGCAAATCAAAACGACAATGCGGTAACATCTCACACCTGTCAGAATGGCTATCATCAACAAATCAACAAATGACAACTGTTGGCAAGGATGCGGGGAAAAATAAACCCTCGTGCACTGCTGGTGGGAATGCAGACTGGTGCAGCCACTGTGAACAGTATGGAGTTTCCTCAAAAAAACTAAACATGTTGGAACTCCCATTTGACCCAGTGATCCCACTTCTAGGAATATATCCCAAGAAGCCAGAAACACCAATCAGAAAGGATATATGCACCCCTCTGTTCATAGCAGCACAACTCACCACAGCTAAGATTTGGAAACAGCCTAAGTGCCAATCAGCAGATGAGTGGATTAGAAAACTATGGTACATCTACACAATGATATACCAGGCTTCGGTAAAAGAGAAGGAATTCTTACATTTGCAACAGCATGGATAGAACGGGAGAGCATTATGCTAAGTGAAATAAGCCAGTCAGAGAAAGATAAATATCACATGATCTCACTCATTTATAGAATATAATGACCAACATAAACTGATGAACAAAAACAGATCCAGAGACAGAGAAGCATTGATCAGATCATCAAACCTCAGAGGGAAAGTAGGGGAGGGTGGGGTTAAGGGGGAGAGATCAACCAAAGGACTTGTATGCATGCATATAAGCCCAACAAATGGACACAGACAACAGGGGGGTGATGGCATGAGTGGGGAGGTGGGAGGAAAATGGGGAGATAAGGACATATATGTAATACCTTAATTAACAAAGAAATTTAAAAAAAGAAAAAGAAAGCCAGTCCTCAGGTTCACACTGTCCCTTCTGAGCTACTACTACCATGACCAAACTGACCATGATTCTCTGTATGAAAGTGATCCACAGTCCTGGCTGATGTGTCTCAGTTGGTTGAGCATAGACCCATGCACTGGTGAGGTCACATGCCGGGTTGTGGGCTGGATCCACAGTAGGGGTTGTGCAGGTGGCACCCAATCCTTGCTTCTTGCTCATCCCTCTCTCTCTCTCTCCCTCCCCCGTCCTTTCTACATCTAAAATCAATAAAAATATATATGTCTTTTAAAAAACATACCTGCAGGTTCCTGATTCAGCTCTCTCTTCACTCCCAGCCTTTGCACATTCTGGAACCTATGTCTGGAGGACCTTGCACTCATTACATTACACTGGTTGCCACAAACAAGTTCCACTTCATGAGGCCCTACTCCTGGCCTTAGGAGTCTGTGCTGAGTGTCTGTTCAAAGTCCCCAGGTCCACAAGATACGAGAGCAGCTGACAATCCCAGGACTCTACTCTCTCAGAGGTCACAAGGGGGTGAGGCCCTGAATTACGCTCCACAAACCCGTACACCTAATTCATTCTGTATTTGGAAAAATTTGTGGAAAGAAAATGGTCTGTTGACAGCCTGGCACCCACCAGGCTCTATGGGCTCAGGCTGCTCAGTGTCCTTGCCCAGCCCAGAGGCCATGTGCCCTCCAGATGCCTGTGTTATCTCAGGGCTCAGTCCTCAGGGCTCACTCTGCCAGTTCCCTTATCATTTACAGGACTTCCCCTTCCTGTCCACAGCTGCTGTCCTCTGTCCTCCAGTCTGTCCTTCCTCTGTGCAATGTTAGGAAAAGTTAGAATCCGGCCTCAGAAAATGTCCCTATTTTTTTCACAACCATCTGTGGCCCCAGCGTCCTGAGAGTGAAACTAAAACTCCTCGTGCAAAACCTCACCTCATGTCTGTGTTGCCTTTACACCCACAACAGGCCCGGGTTCCCGAGTCCTCCCTGCTCAGTCGCACCATCACGTCCTTACAAGGCGGCCCTGCGGCCTTTCCCCCTCTTCCCCCATCAGCCATGTGTCACCCACGAGGGACTCACCATTCTGAGCGCTGGGACCTGGGCGGCAGGACCTGAGGGGCCGGTCCCCAAGGCTGGAGGGTGAAATGGGGTGAGGCTGCGGGGACGCTGTGAGCAGAGAGGAGTCCGGGAGGCACGGGGATACCAATCTCGGGCTGTTGGGCTCAAGGAGCCTCAGACACGCCCCGCACAGCAGGCGCGCTGCCTCCCAGCCCTCCTCCTCCTCACGGCCAGCGCCCTGAAGCCTGTGAATCTGTGAACAAAGACCTAAAAAGTTGAAATGTCCACCACGAGGAGGAAGCAGGAAGTCCCGCCCTAACCAGATGCGCAGACACCAAAATGCCCTTTAGCTCCGCCCACACGAGTGCAGTTCCTTCTGGGTAATGTAGTTTTCTCAACCGCCCAGGGGAGTCCTGGCATCCCAGCCAATGACTTAGTTCCATTGTCGGCAAACTGCGGCTCTAGAGCCACATGAGGCTCTTTGGTCCCTTCAGTGTGGCTCTTCCTAAGCCTTAGGAGTACCCTAGTTAAGTTAATAACAATGTTCCTACCTATATAGTTTAAGTTTAAAAAATTTGGCTCACAAAAGAAATTTCAATCTTTGTACTGTTGATATTTGTCTCTGTTGACTAATGAGTTTGTGGACCACTGACTTAGGTGAATAAAGGTGTTGTGGCTGCCCTAGCCGGTTTGTCTCAGTGGACATAGCCTTGGCTTGCGGACTGAAGATTCTGGACCAGGGCACATGCCTGGGTTGTGGGCTGGATCCCCAGTGGGGGGTGTGCCGAAGGCAACCAATCAATGATTCCCTCTCATCATTGATGTTTCTATATCCTTCTTTCCTCTCTGAAACCAATAAAAAAATATATATTTTTAAAAAGGTGTTGTGGCAGAGAGAGTGATGGCTGGGGAGGGACTAGATGGGTCCAGAGGCCTGGCTAACTGGAGCCGACTGACAGATCTCTGAGGGGAAGAAGGTGGGAGGAATGTAAGAGATCCACCAAAGAATATACACAGAGGGGGGAAATGTGGGACATTGATAATACTACCAACAATAAAAACTACATATATTTTCATAAATTTTAAAATAATGTAGTCTAGCCGAGCCAGATGTGTCTCAGCAGTAGAGCATCGAACTAGGAACCAGGAGGTCGTCGGTTTGATTCCCGGTCAAGGCATGTGCCCGGGTTTCGGGCTTGATCCCCAGTGGGGGGCGTGCAGGAGGCAGCCAATCAATGTGATGTTTATATATCTCTCTCCCCCTCCCTTCCTCTCTGAAATCAATAAAAATATTAAAAAAACAAATAAAATAATGTTGTCCAGCTGGTGTAGCTCAGTGGTTGAGCCTTGACATACAAACCAGGAGGTCATGGTTCTTTTTATTTTATTTTTATTTTTAAAATTATTGTTTAAAGTATTACATATAGGATGGCATATAACTCCTTTTTGTCCCATTGTGCTCTGCCCAGCCACCCTCACGCCTCAGCACATGCCCTTATCCCCAATAGTGTCTGTGTCCATTGGTTATGCTTATATGTATGCATATAAATCCTTCAGTTGATTCCTTAACCCCCTCCATCCCTTGAATTCCCTCTGAAGTTTGACAGTCTGTTTGATGCTTCTATGTCTCTGAATCTATTTTTGTTCATCAATTTATGCTGTTCATTATATTCCACAAATGATGAGGTCATGTGATACTGGTTATTTTCCTGTTCAGGGCGCATACATGGGTTGCAGGCTCAATTCCCAGTGAGGGTGTGGAGTCATGCATGAGGCAACTAATCAGCAATTCTCTCTCATCATTGATGTTATTATCTCTCCCTCTCCCTTCCACTTTAAAATCAACAAAAATACTTTAAACACAGTATGTACATATATGCATAGGCCATGGACATAGACTATAATGTGGTAAGGGACTAGAAGCACTGGGGCAGGGTAGAGGGAGAAAAGTGGGGAGGAGTATGGGGGAATTGGGAACATTTGTAATAGAGTAAGCAATCCTACATAATAAAGAGCTAATATGCAAATGGTCATCACACCCTCGCAGCCTTGTGCCCTCGCGCTGGGGCTGTGGGACCTGAAGCTGGGCAGTGGGACATGAGGCCGTGTCCCCATCCCCAGATCTGGGGCCGAGGGACCTGAAGCCATGTAGCCCTGAGGCTGGGCCTGGGGACCTGAATCCGCACCCCACACCCTGGTGGGGCTTGTTGGGGGACCTGAGTCCCTGCCTCCCACCTCTCTCACTGGGGGACCTGAGGCAGGGCTGGGCTACCTGTGGCCATGCCCTCTGCCCTGGCACTGGGGCTGGGGGACCTGTGGTCATGCCCCCTGCCTCAGCACTGGGGCCAGGGGACCTGAGGCCGGGAAGGGGGACCTGAGGCCATGCCCCTGGTCTCGGCGGGGCTTGACAGGGGACCTGAGGCCTGGAAGGGGGACCTGAGGCCACACCCCCTGCCCTGTGGGGCTTGACAGGGGTGGGGCCGGCTGGGTCTGGGTCTCTCACGATTTTGAGACACGCACAGGTGGGCAGGGATTTGATTATGGGTCCCACCACTCTGACAGGAGGGAGATTTTCATATACATTTTACTGATTTTCTTTTATCTCTGACACTTCTATTATAAAGGGCAAATAGCAATATTAAAATATTTCCTCTAATTATTTCCTTTTAATGTGCATGTATTTTTTGTACCAGACCACTAGTCTATATGTATAAAAGGGCAGCTACCATAAAGGCCATAACGATCTAACAACTGGTCACTATGAAGCCCACTGTGGCCAGCTAACCGTCCCGATCAGCGGGTGGGGCAGATGGCCAAACTTGTGGCCCCTGACTACCGCGGGCCCGCCCTGATCAGACTCTCCCACCCCGATTAAGAGCAGGGT